CCTATCGGCCGCCCCTTAAGATAAGGTCTATAGTTTCTATATCGCCGTCGCTGTCCGTAATAGCTCCCCCTATAACGTCTAGCGCTTATATAAGTAATATTCCTAAGCTAAAGAACAAAGAGAACTACCTATTATAGTTATATGCCGCTAAAGGCGCCCTTAAAGGTATATCGGTCTAGCGCTATATACAAGGCACCCGCTAGCGACCCCTTTCTAAGGCCTCTAGTAAGTCTTCTAAAGAGTTTGAAGACCGCTAAGATAAATAGGACTCTAAAGATCAAATAGCGCGTATCTAGATCTTTGCTAATTGTATTAGTAATATTTAACAATTACTGCTTAGTCTATCTATATCCTAGGAAGTATAGGACTTCCTTAAGAAGAAATATACTAGTAAAGGTAGGTCTACTGAATTCATGCTCTACTAGGAATATATCACCCTTCGGTATAATAGCAAGGACATTAAGAAGTTCTGTAATAAGTACAAAAAGAAGCTTAGTACCTTAAAGGATACTAAATTGGCTATTAGCTAATACTAGGCTGTCTATATATTTATTATGCAGATCTCTCTATTCTACGAGGCTTTCGTATAGATGCGCCGAGAGTAGATACGCGCCTCCGAATATACTATTAACGATAACACACTTGATAACATTATCAGCGCTTTGCTTAATAAAAATGTAGCTTAATTAAACTAGGCCTAATATAACGGCTTCTTTAGTCTTCAGCGCTAACTATAATAGCAAGGTAGCAATAGTAATAATAGCGGTCGAGGTAACTCGAACCGTAGCGGTCGTAGTAGCCGCGGAAATAGCAACAATAGTCGTAGTCGTAGTAGAAACAGCTAGAATAGTTAGAATCGCGAGAAGTGCTTATACTGCTAAGGCGCTTACCTATCCGATCGGTACTATACTAAATACCCTTACCTAAAGGAAGAAGACCGTCTTTGTCGCGAGAAGCAGAAGGCTAAGAAGCAGCAATAGCAGCAGCGTAGACTAACTGCGTAGCAATAATAGCAACAGCCGCTATCTAGTCAGAATAGTGCCTAGGGCCTATATACGGCTAATGCTACCCTAGGGGTGTTATTAGACCTAAGTAGCAACTACGCCTTTAATGCGATCACTGTTAGTAACGCAGCTTCTATAGCACTCACTATAGCGACTCGTACTACTAATTAGGTTGTCGACTTAGGTACTAGTATACATATAGTTAATAACCCTTTATTGCTTATTAAATACGAAGGATGTTACATTCCTATCCGGTTTGGTAGTAATACGAAGCACGCTACGATAGTTAGTATAGCTTAGACTGAGGTTGTTAATAAGCGTAGTATAAGCAGCATAAAGCTGTCTAATACGCTATATGTTCTAGGTCTAGTAGCTAACCTTCTGTCTACTAAGAAGCTTACCGACAAGGGTTGTTTCTACCGAAATGATAAGCGTATCCTATTTACGATAGTAGAGGGCAATAAGGTCACTGTCGCTTAGACATACCGTAAGAATAGTCTTCCCTACCTCTATATACTAACCTCTAGTCTAGATAGCTAAGTTGTTGCGCTTCTATCGAAGAAGGGGGTACTAATAGGTACGATAGAAGAGTAGCATCTACGATATAGCTATATTTATTACCGCAAGCTATTACGAATAGAAGCTAAGGGTTAGATTGTTATTACTAGAAACAAGACCGACTTCCGCAACTGCATTGCCTATCGCATAGCTATATCGCATAAGGAATATAATCGGCTACTACGCGTACGGCTATCTACGATCTATTATATTGTCTGTATAGATATAGTTACTATTACTAACCCTAGTCTGCTACAAGAGCGCTATTTTATACTGTTTACATGCGCTAAGTTAGGCTATCGATACGAATATACTAGCTTACTAAAGTTAGGGGCTGTAGTAGCTATTAAGGATTATTGTATATACGTCCGTATACAAACTAGCTATTCGATCCTAATCTACCGCCTCGATAGAGAGGGTAAATACGGCGGAAATTAGCTATTAAGCTAGGCTCGTAATTAGGGCATTATACTGTAGGTTATAGCACCTTATTCTTCTACTTAGAATAGCCTAGCTAAGGTTAGCAACTATATCGTATATACGACCGCTCGGAAGATAATGCTCTATACGAATTTGCTAAAGGCCCTATAGCCGTATACAGTCGCTACTGCAATACAGGTTCTTAATATTACTCCTAGAACCTTAGAAGGCCTTAGTCCCTATACTATTGTAGCTAGGGAGCTCAATTAGTCTCGGAAGTAGCTACGCCCCTAACACCTTCGAGCCTATAGCTATACGGCTATTATCTACGACTATAGTGTAGCTCGTAGTAAGAAGTTTAACGCTCGTAGAAAGCTTAGCAAACTAGTCGGTTATGCGAAGGACTTAGTAGACTCTAGCAAATATATAATCTACTTGTCTAACGAATACAAGGTTGTTGCCTCGAAGGATGTCTAGTTTATTAAGTTAGAGGACGACAAGTTGTCGCTTCTAGAGGGTATAAACCTATACGCTAATCCTAATAACCTAGCTAAGAACGAGTTTGTTATACTCGAGTCTATTATACCGGCTCTGTTTAATTCTATAAGCAACGAGGCACCGTCGCTATAGGAAGCCGCTAGTATAGTCTAGCAGCTTCTAGCCTAGTAAGAAGAGCCTCTAGACGAGCCTACTTAGGACATAGAGGTAACTAATAAGGTCGCTAGTCCGTTGCTACTCGATAATAACCTACTAGACGTTCAACTACTAGCTTTAAGTAATAAAGATAGCTTTTAGTTAGCCGAGGAAGAGCTAGTATATAATCCAAACGCTAAGAAGGGCGAGCCTAGCTAGCTGCCTAAGTTTAAGCGACTAGACAACGTTAGTAGTCGTTCTATACATAAGATACGAAGCAATAAGAGCGTACGAGAGCTATTGCGTAGATACCTAGCCGACGCTAGTATTAATCGATCAACTCGCCGTAGCCTAGCTAATATACTAATAGCCTATATAAAGGGCTTTATAGCTGCCTACTACATTGCTAGGCAGAGCGATATAGAAGACACTATTCCTATTCCGAAGAGCTATAAGGAGGCGACTTAGTTACTATATTAGCTATAATAGAAGGAAGCCTATAAGGCTAAATATAAGTTACTAATAGACAACTATACGTAGGTATATGTTTCTCGACTAGAAGTGCCTAGAGGTCGCAAGGTTGTCCGTAGCCGATAGGTGTTTACTATTAAGCGTAATACTAACGGTAAGGTAAGCCGCTTTAAGGCTCGTTAGGTTGTCCGTAGCTTTATACAGGTTGAAGGACAGGATTATAACGAGACCTATACGGCTGTTGCTAAGCCTTGCACGCTTCGAGCCTTGTTTAGTCTAATTGTATACTACGACCTAGAGGCTAAGCAGTACGACATTCTAACTGCCTTCCTTAACGCGCTTATCGGGGATAAGTATAAGATCTACGTCGAGCAGCTATATAGCTTTAAAGACCGTAGTAGTAAGGGCATAGTTTACCTGCTGCTAAAGGCCCTATATAGTCTAAAGCAGTTACTAATGCTATAGTATAAAGAGCTTCGGAAGTACTTAAAGAGCCTAGACTTTATTCTAATAATGTCCGACGTCTGTATGTTTAAGCACGTTAGCGGCTCGATTATTGTTATCTACGTCGATAATATAATTATTATCGCCTACAGCCTATTAGCACTAGAAGCTGTTGCTTAGTTACTAAAGGAGCGCTTTAATATGCGAGAACTAGGCGACCTTTACTACTATCTCGGTATGCGTATTATCCGCGACCGTAACAAGCGCACTATCTACGTTGTTTAGGACGCCTACTTAAATAGGCTCTACGAGAAGTATAGTATACGTAGCCGTATTAGACTAGCTACTCTAATAGCGCCTCGTTACGTTAAGACATCTATTTAACGCGTACCTAAAGGCTATATAGCTAGTGCCGCCTTTAAGACTTAGTATTAGGAGGGTGTTAGTAAAGCCCTCTAGCTAGTAATAATTACTCGGCCGGATGCTTGCTATACTGCCGGCCTATTGTTACGATTTATTTCTAACCCGACCGAGGAGCATTATACTGCGCTTCTTTAGCTAATTAAGTACCTAGTTAGCACCCTTAGCCGTAGCATGCGCTTCTAAGGCAACCTAAACGAAGACGACCTCAAGTTCGCTAGTTACTATAACGCCTTATAGGCTAACGATCTAGTTACCCGCCGCTCTATAGGCGGCTTCTACTTTACTATTACAGGCGGACCTCTATTGTATAAGTCCGGCCGCTAGACACTCGTTATACTATTATTAACTAAAGCTAAGTATGTTTAACTTACTATAGGGGCTAAGGAAGCAGTTGCCTTAGCTCGCTTATTAAAGGAGATTAGCTATAAGGGCTATATTCTCCTAGTAACACTCTACGAGGACAATTAGTCCGCTATCGCTATTACTAAGTCTACTATTAATAGCTATACGAAGTATATAGATACTCGTATCTACTATATTCGAGAGAAGATTGCTAATAGTACTATTATCGTCTAATAGGTTAGTATATATAATTAGATAGCCGATAGCTTTACTAAGCCGCTTAATAAGACTAAGTACGGCCGCTTTATTAAATAACTAAACCTAGTAGATTGTAAGGCCGCTATTAAGAGCGCTACAAAACTAGCTGCTAAATACTAAGAAGAAAGGGTCTTTGTTTACTTTGTCTGTGTAACCTAAGAGTAGTCTAGTTTGTTTACCTGTTTCTGCTTACCTAATACCCCTGTTTGCTTTGCTAACTGAATGGCTATTGTGTTTAGTTTGCTTCATTCTATAGCGATATACACGTACTAAGGGGGTGACTTAGAGTATGTATCTGGGAGTCAGGGTCCATTACGTGCCTAATGCCTAAGGCTGCAACTGCCGCACTTCGTCTTTGGACTTTCCGTAGATAGTCCTTCTTCTGAATACATCAGTTACATCAAGTCTAGATTCCACGGCAACTTTCGATCAAAAACAAGCCATACTTCAATCCTGCCTCTCCACCCACGTCTCCCTCCCCAACCTCAGATACAAAGAATCACACCACTCCTCGCCAAGCAGCAGCGTATTCCGAACCATGCCACTCTCCACAAACCCACAACTCTTCAACAATCCAATGCTAGCCGCATTCCTAGGATCAGTATCAGCGGTAATCGAAGGGTACGCCCACCGACCACGAATTTCAGAATCGCTCAAACAATTATACCCCGGACCTGGACTAGGCTCTGAAGGCGAAGTAGAACAGTCCATTCTCTCGAGAGAAAAAAGGTAGCCGAGAAGAGCTTTCAAAGCCTCTTTCGCCAAACCCTGTCCCCAGAATTTTCTCGCGAGAAGGAATCCGATTTCATTTGAAGGACGAGGGTAAAAGATTCCGATTTTTCCGATGACTTGGGATGAGTCTTTGAGAACGATCACGAAGTCTGTTGTCCCGTTCTGTGGGGAGGAGAGCATTGACGATAACCATTGTTGGGTGCGTTCCAAGGTATGTGGGAGTTCGCTCCTAATGCAGGCATGGTGAGCGAGGAGGATGTGGTTGACGGCAGGGAGATGATTACCAATATCGCATCACTTCGGAATCTGAGAAGGCTTCGTACAGAGAGTCTGCATCTTCAACTTGAGCTGCGCGGAGGAGTAGGCGTGGTGTCTCGATTGATGTCTCTTTCGACATTAGACTCGATTGTGGCAGCTGGCTGATTAGTCAATGTAAGAAGCAAAGATGCAGGAGCATCAGCGATCTACAAGGCCATCCAACGACCAGGAAGTAACAGAAGGTTATTTGTTTCTTATTGTGTGCTAATTGCACTCGCTGTGCCAGATTATAGATTACGGTGTGACGTTTTTGTTCCCGGGTTGCCTTGCCAAGTTTCAGGGTAGGCGGTAGGCGGTGTCGATTATAAGGCATGCTCACTTCAGCCTTGCATTACCGCAGGTATCTCTTATCTGGTCCTGGGACTGATGATACTGACCGAGATTGAGGGGACGCAAGCAATGCTGGATTCATCTGAAGGTACGCAAGTTTTCAGGCGAAGACTGAATGATCCATCAGGGGCACTTCACGCCACCCCGCCAAGACGTTAGCAGAAGGAAGCAGCGCGTCGTTGAATACCTCTGCGAATGTTGTGCAAACACTGATCGCGAGCCTTCCATATGGCAAAGTCAAGTAAATGGTCGGATGATGCTAAGATGGACATGATCAAGAAGGGGACTTGGAAGCGTGAACGCGTTTCGGCTCGTCGACTTCACGAAAGTGGATCTGCTGGCCCGTGCGTGGGCTAGTTGTTTATCTCCTTTTCATCGACGCCCACGCTTCTTCAACTTCCTCACAAGGCTATGTCTTGCAGAGAAATCCGACCGTGGAGCACAGGACATCATTGAAATAGTACCCCCAGCCTGCCCTTATGCCTGTTCGACCGCATCAACTCCACCATCTTAGGAAACTCCTCGAGCTTGAACTGCGTCACATGCGGCTCTATGCCATGCTTGTAGCTGAACTCTACGCACTTCTTCAGCCTCGGCGTGGTACCATTGTTACTTCCTCTCACACGGATTCTCTTCATGGACACATCCATCGCCGAGAATTGGAGCGGCTTCTGGGGGATTCCAGTCACCATCAGGACGCCATTCATCCGCAGCAGTCCGACAGCGTTCGAATATGCTGGTACAGAATTGGTGTAATTGATGACGGCGTGGCAACCTTTGCCTCCTGTGATCTGTCGCACTTGATCGATATAGTCTGCGCACTTCATTGGATTGAAGACGTGGTCGGCACCCTGTGCTAGAGCCTCTTCAACAGCATCAGCGGATAGGTCAATACCAATAACTTTATAGCCGAAAGCTTTGAGGTACTGGATGCCGAGGTGACCGAGTCCTCCACACCCGACTACAGCGACCCAGTTCTCCTCTGGGATACCTTTCAGCTCCGCGATCGTGTCTGTCACTGAGTTGAAAGCAGTGCAGCCTGCGCAGAACAGAGGTGCCAGATTAGCCAAATCCATGCCATCCGGAATGTGAGCAGCATTCCTCTGAAACGCAAAGGGTACAGGGTCAGCAATCGTCTAGGACATGGAGATGTCTCGCATCGACATGACTTACCCAGTTGATGGCAGCATATTCTTGGAAATATCCATCGACAGTCATGCCTTGCACTTTAGAGGTACCTTTCTCACAGTAAAGATTATGGATTTGGCACTCTTCGCAGTCGTAGCAGCAGTCGACTATGGGTAGCCAACCGATACGATCACCTGGCTTGAAGTTATCGCCTACTTCCGAGCCAACCTCAATGATTGTGCCACACCCCTCATGGCCCTACAATTGTCAGCGTTTCAAGCAATGCAAAATGCTTAGCGATACTATAACCATACCATGGTGAAAGGCTCCCCACTTCCAAGCTTCAAACCCTGCTCGTTCTCTTCGAACAGCATCAGGTCACTGTGGCATAGTGATGCCGCCTTGACTTTGACGAGGATCTCGTAAGGCTTGATAGACGGTACCTCGAATGCTGTCAGATAACAATCAGGCGCTATAAATCTCCTGGTCTTACCGGAATCTCATTGATGGACACGGACTGGTCGCTGGGGTTGAATTGAGCTGCCTTCTGCGTAGCGGGCACGCTATTGGATCCGTTGGTAGTGCTAGATGCCATTTTTGGCAAGTCTGGGTGAACACTATTGCACCTTGATGGCTTTCAAGCAGTCAATATGCTTATCGGCTGCTCTGCTGAGCGCAAACAAGAACTAAATGCATATTATATAAGATGAGATAGATACTGTTACGATATTCCACAGATGCGGAGATGATCGGAAAACGACATCCGACCAGCACACTTGGCTGACAGCCTCAGGAGAAGTCGCGCCAGATCACTTCTTGCCTGTCAATATAAAACGCAGTGACCATAGCTTGCACTTCTGCGAAAAAGCCAATGTTGGCAGAAATAAAAGGCCGGTTCCTTACTGCTTTCATAACTTCCCACCTTCTGCAGCTCCGTCTTCCACAACAACAGCTCCTGCAAAATCCTCCAAGAACTTCCAAAACCCATCTTTCCTCCATCCTCTCTTCTTCCAATCATTAAGATTTCCTTTCGGCCATTCATCAATCACACCCTTCAAACTCCAATCATGCGCTAAAATCGTAAAGACATTCTCATTCGCATCAAATCCTTCAACTTTTCGTACACTCCTCATAAGCTCCTCCCGATCATACATGATCGAGAATTTTCGATCCTGCTCACCAACACCTTCTCGTCCTTCAAAGGGATCGATGAATTCCAGAATATGCTCGGACGACGAACCGTTTCGGAGAAGTGATGAGAACATGCCGCCAGGGCAGGAATAAGGATGTGCTTCAGGCAGCGGAGACGGATCGATCAGATCCGGCATCGGGATGTATTCGCTGGGTCTGATTTCGCCGCAATGGTGTGCCGAGTCACCACATAGATGAAGAAACTCCGGTGGAGAAACTGAGGTTCTAGCCAAAGCATTGACATGTCCAATCGCATGTCCCGGAGTATCGAGAATGTAGAAGGATCCATCACCGAAGTAATCAAAAGCACGAAACTTGCCGATATTCAAACCACCACTCTCGGAAAATGGTACTTCGACCACTTCCCTCCCCTCAAAATCCGATTCCAGCGTCCAGGCATTCGGATCGATAGGATATCCAGGCATGAAATTCTCCTTAAAACCTTCCCCAACGATTAATTTCGTCGATACGGGAAAAGTGCTCATATCTCCCGTATGGTCGAAATGCCAATGCGACCAAATCACGCCCTCAAACTCCTTGGGATCAACTCCATTCTCAGCTAGGATCTCAGCTACATGTTTCTGCACATCGAAAGACTCGATGATTCCGTCTTCACGAAGCTTTTTAAGACCCCACCCGGGCGATGTAGTGTTGATGGCATCTTTTCGAGATCCGAGATCATAGAGGAGTTTGCGACCTGATGGAGGATGTTCGATGAGGAATGACCAGCAACCGGTTCGTACACGACCGAAACCTTTGATTGGTGGGGAGTACATGTATTCGGTGTCTACGCCGGACATCCATAGTGTGGAGTCGATGGCTGAGACTGTTACTGCGGTTTCGCCTGGTGGGACGTTGAGGGCTGGAGCTGGAGTTGGTGATGCCATAGCTTCCGTAGGGTAGATCGGTGATGGCGCATGAAGGTGAGTCGAGAGCCGTGGTGCGAATAAATGGTTCTTGTCAACCATGCCGAAACTCCGGCTGACCAACTCCGTCCGCGGACGGTTTGTCCGATGTGGCACAGATCACCGAGGTTACCGTTTCCAAGCAGTCGGCGAAGTTCGTAATCAATGAATGTCTGTTTGCATAGTTATGATTTGAAGCCTGTCTCGATAGAAGACTTGAGAAGCTGTGAATTCTTTTGCGTGCTGCCGGCACACCCGCCGAAAATGGACGTTCCCATCGTTCCGGGAGTCGGTAAGGACAATTCTTGTTAAAAAATCAAGTCCAAGAGACTGTCCATCTTACAGATCGAGCGATATCTTGGTGCTATTATCAGCGGTCAGTCTTCCGTCGGTACCGAGCCAGTCGTGGACCAAAAGCTAGCTCCAGTTTCGAGGCTGTAATCTCTTCTGGTGGAGGGAGCGAGGCTACAGAGTCAGTATCACCAGTTGATTTTCTGCCAGGCCTTGGTTCCAGGTTGAAAAGCCTAGCCTCTAAGCCCTTCAAGTCCTCTTCATCTTCTTCCAAAAGCAGATGGCTTCTCTGTCTCAATTGAACCAGCAGTCTGCATGCCCGGGCGAATTGACCAGCGTAGGTATAGTAAACTAGCAGAAGAGATTCGGCGTGATAGCGGCTCCTGTCTGCTGTAGACAATTGACGACTCAGAATCTCCACGACCGGCTGCTGTCTTAGTATTGCTCGTGTGAAGTCACTCTGGAGGTAATGTGCATGAGCCAGGTCCTGCTGAGAGCCCAATAAATCATCATGCTCAGGCGGCATTGCGTGCTCTCCAATAGCCACGACATTTTCCAAGAATTCCACTGCCTTCTGAGGTTGATGGCCACGGAGATATGCCCTAGCCAGTCTCTTTTGTGAATCTAGTCGAGCTTGGTGTGTGGGTGGCAATACCTTCTCCCGCATGGAACAGAACTCTTCAAGTATGTCTATGGCATCCGAAGTCTGACCGACGTCTAAGTAGAGACAGGCAAGATTATGTTGAGTTGTGAGTCGCAAATGACTCTCGGGCTTGAGACTTTGACGAGTGGTGACGACGAGTTGCTCAAGTCGTTTCTGAGCCTCCTCGTATTGTGCAGTCATCTGATAGTTGAATGCCAATTGATGCAGAGACGCCATTAGCGAATGATGGTCTGCAGGCAGCAGTCTTTCGCGGACTTTGATGACCTGAAGAAGCAGCTCAATAGAATCATTGTGCCTCCCGGCCTCTGCGTACGCAAAAGACAGCTCATGCAAGGTGAAAGACCAACCCAGCGGGTCTAAATCTTGGAGTCCGTCTCCAGTGCGTTTCAGGTCCTCAAGGAATTCTATACCTGCTTTCGTGTTGCCAGAGTTGATAAGAATCTGTGCTAGTAACTTTTGCGCCGCCCTAGTCTCGCAGTGTGCCTCTCCAAGGGAACTTTGAAAGGCGTTAAGGACCTTGTTTTGCAACTCGATGGCAGTAGTATAATTACAAGCTTCCTGATTGCACATTGCCTTGAGGATGAGAAGTTGTGGATATGTTTCTGATCTTTCGTCGATGTGAGGCTCAAGCAGTCTGGTAATAGTATCCACCACTGTATAAATGTAATCACTTTCAGCCCGGTACAGCTGGGTCCAGAAGAGGTGTAACATGGTGCCAAGATCGAACAAGGGGATGGCTTGTTCAATATCAGGCGTAAGTAGATCAAAGCAGGCCTCAATGTGCGGGCGTAGATGCATTGTATAGCTATGCCAGTGGAACTTCATGTGGGAGGAAAGAGTCAATGTGGCAGCGGCAGTGCTCCACGACGCAGCCTTCTCCACTATCGAAAGGCGATTTCTTGCCCATGAGTGAAGCAATGGATGCATGGCAATAGTTCCGTCCTCGGAAACCAGAGAGACCAGAGCCAAATCCACCAGTTGGCCTCTTGCCTTCCGAAACATGGACAAGTCGTCGGAGGAGGTCCATTTGAAGTCCAGCGCCGTGTCAAGGTGCCATTCAGACAACATCCTGATACTAGCAAATTTTTGCTGGGTTTCGTGGTCTTTCTGATCTTCGGAGTTGAATTGGTGGTCCCTCTGGAAGACGTCGTGGTAAGCATTCGCGTCCAAATACCCATGCCCTGAGGAAAAGCTCCTCTGTCACTGCGGCTCGATCCAGATACGCGCTCTAGTGCATGCCCTGCAGAATCCTCGTTAGAATCTTCCAATCGCTGAGCGGAGACCTCGAAAGTGGCATGTATCGTCCCATACGTGGACTGCGCCTGTTTCGGTTTCGTTTTCAAAAGTTCAGACTCTGTCCGTGCAAGAACTTGACCATATTCCTCCAAGGTATGTATGCCAGTCTTGATCACAGAGCCAGCCACAATGATTGCCAGGGCATGATAGCCTACGTGCGCGACAATCTGCTCGGCGGCGATTCTGCGGATGTCAGGCAGCACCGGCAATTTTGCTGCTTTTGCAAGGAGCGCCACGCTGTCTTCCACATCCAATCCATCCGATCGGCAGTATCCAAGAGTACCGTACTCGAGCTCCAGGTCCAGTCTCGAGGTCATAATTGTAGAGCCTCTGGGCCCGTTCGGACAGTAAGGAGCGTAGTCGACATCTGGGTCATCGCAGTTGTCCAATATCAAGAGCCAAGTCTCTTTCGAATTCTAGCAAGAGCAAAGGCATATCGTCAGTACAACACCCTATAGGGTGGCTCGAGGCCGAAGTCGTTGGTGAATGTACAAGTCGGTTGCTCTCATCCGCATACCAATCCAAATATCCCATCTGCGCCTCCCTATGATCATCCTTTATAGCATCAATGCCCTGAATTTGTATGATTCCGAACCAATTGAACAAGACATCGAAAGCGTCAAAAGATCCAAGGAGTGGAATGGCGGTCAGGTGAAGACCGAGACCGTTGCCCAAACCGGCGATGAGGCGGCCGAGGACAGTGCTGCTGATGTTGCTCAGAGGTAAGACGGCTTCGATGAGGTAGTTCCATTTTGGGACTGGGTGCATGCCGAGGACTTGGTGGCGTTGGCATTCGAAGCTGGAGTATCCGAAGATTGAGGCTAGGCGTTCCTCGATTGCTATTTTCTTAAGGGCTCCGCTCCGCTCGCTGTCTAGCCTGATTCACCGCAATGCTTTTGGGTAGAACGATTCCTGATTCGTGTCAGTCAGCCTGGTTCGATTCTGCCGACATTACCTGCTGTCCGGTGATTGATCGGAGGCCATCTAGCCTGATGCACTCACTTCCGAAAATCCAGCACAATTCTTGAATAGTCACCTTGGAATGCCCTAGTGCGGCCAGGGCGGCTAGGGAGGTCAAAACTTTCTTTCATGCTGTATGTAAATTTACAGAGGCGCGCCCCTAATGTTTGTGCCCGGGAACGCCTCGCTATGGATATTCATTGAAAGTCGCATCTTCGTCGTTCATTCATTCAATCATTCAAGAGCAAAACCTAGGACATTCCTCTTGTCATCTGTCAGCCTTGCCCATTCCAACAAGAGTCGGAAGAAGTAGATTTCCATGTCTTCTTTCCTCAAAACCGTTTCTGCCCACTTCTTGCCTTCAGTCGCAATACGTTCCGCTTCTTTCTGGCGTGCAGGTACCTTGAGCTCCTTACCACTTGCGCTACTCGCATCAATCCCAGCAAAGTATGCCAGTGTGGCCCAAAAACCATGCCCTCTGAGATCTAGAGGAACGAAGTGAACCCAAGGAGTGACACGATCGTCCCACCATTCGCGGAACAAGGCTGCTTTGAATGGAAGTGACCTGCTCTGTAGGAAAGAAAGAAACCGGCCTGAGAATCCCGCGCCATCCAGGTCAAGGAGATATTTGTATTTCCAATGATCTTGAAAGTCAGATGGCGGCACTAGTGGAGCGAATTCTCGGGCCTGGTCTTCGCAGTCGCGACCGAAGCAGCGTGCGATACCGTCCACAAAGTGTACGTCGGTTGCCAGTAGCGTTGTCAATTTCGAGGTCGGAAAGTACTTGTATTCGAGCATGCCAGGAATCTTCTCGCTCGGTAGTAGAAGTGGCATGTCAGGGTTCGTGCCATTGATATCGTTTGCCAAGTGGACGAATCGCTGCCTAGTCATGCCACGCCATTGGTCGACATTGCCATGCGAAACGCCTTCAGACGTTGCACCACGCCAGAACAGTTTTGGCTGCTTCTCAGAGAAGTCCAAGTCTGGATGCTCATCGTTCGGCGCATACTGTGCTTTGTCCATGTAGTTCCAGGCGGACGGATACAGAATGTCATTGAATCCTCCAGCTTTACTTTGTGAGAAGATCGGATAAAGCTGGCGAGAGCCTTTGAATGCTGCCGGCGAGAGATACAAGCCATGTAGATCGGCGAGGTCTGGCTGATGACATACATCGGCAGCCAGCGTCCAATTGGCGAGGAATGCTCCGAGTGAGTGGGGGTAGGTGCACGATGTACAAAGTGAAGACGTATCCCATTTGCGATCATTCCGCGCAGGAGAGTTGGCGGGACATGCGTTGTTGCCGAATCGATGGAAGATCTTCTGCCACGACAGGTGGGCCAGCGGACTCCATCTCTCCGGATCGTCTGGCAGTCGATCAGGGATAGGCTTCCACTGCTCGGCTCGATCTGGCGAGTACGTCCTTTCTGGTTTCGGAATTAGACCGAACGCTTCGCCTTTTCTTCGCATTGATTCAATGTGCTCGTGCGGGACGTTGACTCTGCATTCGTCGTTGAGATTGAACGCTAAATCCATATCTGGCAGGTGCTCTGCGAACTTCTTGATCATCTCGATTAGGCCGTCAAGCATCCACTGATGGGTCCCAGGCACATTCGGCGCGACTGTAACTTGATGATTACGTACAATGATGCCTGCAGCATCATTCCAAGGAAGAGAGATCATGGTCCATGTGCGTTCACGAATCTCTTCTGGAGTGAGCGCATAGAACGGGAGCAAGTCTCGGTGGATGCTATCAAAATCGTCTATGACAGCCGAGCTCCGGTTGGTCGCGTACTCGTACCAGGCGTCGAACCCGGGTGGAGGCTGTCTGTGATATCGAACTCGGTAGTTATGAACAGCTTGAGGCAAAGTCGTGCTGGTTGCCGACTGGTTCAAGTAGGCCTGTTGTTGGCTCTGCGCTTCGTAGATGAGCATATCGATGGGATGAAAATTGACAGCATTCTTATGCGTGACCCAGAGACCTGTCCAGAACACGAGAATCGAAAGTAAAAGCAATTGCAGCCAAGCAGGCACTTTGCGAAACATGCTTCTCGGTGGGCGCTCTTCAGAAACGGTCTCGGCTTGAAAGTATAGCTCCATGCCTAACACGGCCATGCCAATGCCTGACCATGCAAGACCGAATGAATTGGGCGGGAAAGGATGTCCATTGGTCCATGCAGATGCTGTCGTTATCGTAAGCAGGCTGGTGAACGCGGCTACAGTGACCGTAGTAAGAGGGCCGATGTGAGATATCTACGGCCATTAGCATTCGGACTGCAGTAAGGGCGATTGGTACCCACGCTCGCCAATGCGCAAATCAATGTAAATGCTGTGTACAGGCCAAGACGCAAAACGCTCCAAAAGTACAGATGGGGTATCGTAAGCAACCATTTCCGCCCAGTCTCCTGGACAACCCAATAGATGAAGCCGACGACTATCCAAAAGCCGGCGGAAAACTGGTCATGGTCAGCGCGTGTCAAATCAGGCGGAAACAGCATCGGAGTTACGGACAAGAAATGCCCAGCCCACCGATGCAAATCGCACAGCACAGCCTTTGAATCCTCGTCCTTCGTGGGAGTTCATTAGCTGACCAATGCAGGCCACAATCACGACGTCAAGAACGGTTCCAAAACGCTGTAAGTATGGGATGGCTGCGCGGAAGCTCAGCGAAGCAGCGCAGATGTATGTGCTATGCGGACTGCTCGTCGATGCCAGTGCCAGCATACCACCAACACCCATCAGTGCCACAGCGAGAGCAGCAGCATATGGGGCACGTGCGATCCCCTGGGCGCCCATTTCATAAACATTTGCGCCGGCATCGTCATGGTATTGCCTCCTGCTCTTCCTCCGGATTGTGCAGTAGTCCCAGACGGCCAAGGCCAGAGGCACAAGCGGTTCCCAGCTGCGGCCAGCGCATTGGACATTGTGAACCACCTGTCGTGTGATTTCTGCTCGAAGACATAGCGCCAGGACCAGCAGCAGCCAAGCCATCCCGAACTTGCGCAGACTGCTGGCGTATGAGACATCTTCCCTGGGCGGACTCGGTGGGCGACTGGCATGCGGCTCGCGTACATCGTCGAGCGGAAGCGCGTCGTAGTGCAGGCCATTGTACGGTTTGCGGTCGCTACTGGCCTTCGGCAACCATCTGCTGACGGCTACACAGGCTGCTCCTGCACTAGCAAATACCGAGACGGCGGAGTGGATGGGTCTGTCGAAGGCGAAACTGTTTTCGGCATGTCTGCTGAGGACGACGGTGCCAATGACGAGGCCACTGCAGGACGATGTCAGCCTGATTGTACATCGCTCGAGCCAAGAGTTCCGAGTGTGTCTCACCCGAGCGCAGGCCACTTCGCGGTTTCCATGGACGAGGCGAGGACGAGGCTCGCGCCCGCCGCCCAGGCTCACACGAGAAGTTTCACGGCAGCGGAGCTGACGCGCTCCCTTGTTGGCATGCCTCTCCTGGTAAGGGCTCGTGTAACGGAGACTATGTAATAATGTCAGTACTCTTGCAGGCGCGTACAGTATATTCTACAGTACATATACTTGGGGCTCGCGTGTTTGCTCCAGGGATGCCACCAGCTTGTGCTTGTAAAGCGTTGTGCTCTTCTGCCAACCACGGACCCCAGCCCGACGCTCCGGTTTGGCTTTCTCGGCGGGCGCCGGGCGCCGGGCGCCAGACGGGCCGCGCGCGAGCTGCCGATCGGTGGGGAAAGCGTGAATTTCGCCGTTCGGTCGACTGGCGAAATTTTCAATTTTTGCTTGTGAGACTCTGCCTCTCGCACAGCAACACCAACATAGCGACATCGCTATAGCACAGCGGTCACCCCACGGCAGTGATCGCGCTTCCCCTCTCAGAGAAGACCGAATGATCTAGGCTTGCGATCTCGCACTCGCAGCATCTCTGAACCATCTCCTTCCCCGCCCTCGTTCCCTACTAACCAAAATGCCCAAGAAAGCCATCGATGCGCGTATTCCTGCCTTGATCCGCAATGGCATGCTGGAGAAGAAACGCTCCTTCTTCGTCGTTGTCGGCGATCGCCAGAAGGACGTCATTGTCAATCTGTACCACATTCTGCTCAACCTCGACATCAAGCTAAACAAGTCTGTGCTATGGGCCTACAAGAATAAGCTACTCGGGTTCTCGTCGCATCGGAAGAAGCGCGAGAAGAAGATTAAGAAGGAGATCAAGCGAGGCACGCGCGATGTGCATTCGGAAGACCCCTTCGAGCTGTTCGTCAGCACCCAGAATATCCGATATGTCTACTACAAGGAGACTGAGAAGATCCTCGGAAATACATACGGCATGTGCATCCTGCAAGACTTTGAGGCCATCACGCCAAACCTGCTCGCGAGAACCATGGAGACGGTGGAAGGTGGGGGGCTGGTTCTGCTGTTGCTGAAAGGCATGAACAGCTTGAAGCAGCTCTACACCTTGAGCATGGACATCCATTCGCGGTACCGCACTGAGGCGCATGGAGATGTGGTGGCGAGATTCAACGAGCGATTTATCTTAAGTCTGGGAAGCTGCGAGAGTTGCTTGGTCATCGACGATGAGATGAATGTGTTGCCCATCTCTGGAGGCAAGAACGTGGTGGAGAAGCAGCCGAGTGATGAGACGGAGAAACAGAAATCGAGCAAGGAGCTGGAAGAGATCAAGGAGACTTTGGAGGACACAAAGCCGGTTGGCGATCTGGTCAAGATTGCCAAGACGGTCGACCAGGCTAAGGCGCTCATGACCTTTGTCGAGGCCATCGCCGAGAAGACCCTGGCAAGCACAGTGACTTTGACTGCCGGACGCGGTCGTGGCAAATCCGCTGCGCTTGGTATGGCTATCGCTGCAGCTATTGCGCATGGCTACGGCAACATCTTCATCACCTCACCGTCGCCTGAGAATTTGAAGACGCTCTTCGAATTCGTCTTCAAAGGATTCGATGCGCTTGGCTACCAAGATCATTTGGATTATACTATCATCCAGTCCACCAACCCGGATTTCAACAAGGCCATTGTCCGTGTCAACGTGCATCGTTCTCATCGTCAGACTATCCAGTACATTCAGCCTCAAGATGCCTACACTCTTGGGCAAGCCGAGCTCTTGGTCATCGACGAGGCTGCGGCCATTCCTCTGCCACTTGTAAGAAAGTTGATGGGTCCATATCTTGTGTTCATGGCATCCACCATCAACGGCTATGAGGGGACTGGTCGCTCACTTTCGCTCAAGCTCATTCAGCAGCTGCGTGAGCAGTCACGAGGGGGCATCAAGCCAATCGGTCAGGGCAAAATAACGAGTCGTGAAGACTCGAAGAAGGAAGATCTGCCACCTCGGACCTCTCGATCACTGCGTGAGATCACTTTGGCCGAGCCAATTCGTTACGCAGCTGGCGACGGCGTCGAGAAATGGCTGAACAAAGTGCTATGCCTCGATGCGACCCTCCCACGCCAGACCAATCTTCAGGGCACGCCACATCCATCGAAGTGCGAGCTTCTGCAAGTCAACCGAGACACGCTGTTCTCGTTTCACCCGGTCAGTGAGAAGTTCTTGCAGAACATGATGGCGCTATATGTCGCATCACACTATAAGAACACACCCAACGACTTGCAGCTCATGTCAGATGCGCCTGCACACCAGCTATTTGTTCTCGTGCCGCCAGTGTCAGAAGATACCAATCGGCTTCCGGAAATTCTGTGCGTGCTGCAAGTGTCTCTCGAAGGACAGATCAGTCGCGAAAGCGTGCTTAGCAGCCTTTCGAGAGGTCAGAGAGCAGGTGGAGATCTCATCCCATGGTTGGTCAGCCAGCAGTTCCAGGACTCTGATTTCGCTGGCCTCAGCGGCGCGCGTGTGGTGCGGATAGCGACGAATCCAGACTACGCCAGCATGGGATATGGTTCTAGGGCTTTACAACAGCTTACCGAATTCTACGAAGGCAAGCATATCAATCTTGACGAGTCAGAAGCCAAGGCTGCTATCCACGAGCAGGAGATGGTCCGTGTTACAGATGCGGAGCTAGAGCAAGCCAGCCTTCTTGCAGACAATGTCAAAGTCCGTGACATCAAGAGCATGCCGCCATTATTTGCTCGTCTTTCAGAACGCAAGCCAGTGGCACTTGACTATCTGGGCGTGTCATATGGACTTACTCAGCCGCTGCACAAGTTCTGGCAACGAGCTAGCTTCGTGCCCGTATATCTTCGCCAGACGGCTAACGAACTGACCGGCGAGCACACCTGCGTCATGCTCCGCACTCTCCAGACTGGCTCATCCGACCCAAGCTGGCTAGGCGCATACGCAAAGGACTTCCATCGCCGCTTCATGAGCCTGCTTTCCTACCAGTTTCGCACGTTTGGCAGTGTCCAAGCACTTGCAATCGATGAATCGGCGAATAAAGGCGTCGCTTTGCTGGAGGAGTCTGATAAGGCTCGTCCACTGACGAAACATGAGCTCGATGACCGCCTTTCCCCATTCGATATCAAGCGCCTAGACTCCTACGCAAACAACATGCTCGACTACCACGTCATTCTAGATCTCATGCCAATCATTGCGGAACTCTACTTCTCGGGCCGCATTAAGGATGAGAATGGAATCCAGCTCAGTGGTGTGCAGAAAGCGCTCATCTGTGCCATCGGGCTGCAACGCAAAGTTTTAGAGGACTTGGAGAGAGAGCTTGGTCTCTCGGTCTCACAGCTTTTGGCCATGTTTGTCAAGGTCATCCGAAAGGTGAGCTCCTACTTCCGACAGCTACAGACTGGAGCTATCGAGGCCACTATGCCGAAAGCACAAACGAATGGCGGTGCGAGGCCAGATCGGGACGACCACGATGGAATTGATCCCGATGAAGTTCGCCGTGAGCTCCAAGCTGATCTTGACGATGGTGCCAAGCAGTTTGATGAAGATGAGCGTGAGCGAAATCGGAAAATGATCGATAGCCTTGACATGGAGAAGTATGCTATCAATGAAAAGGCAGATTTCGGTGACGCGGAGAAGCAAGTCGAAGATGCTACGAAGAAAGGAAGATCGATTTCGAACGTGGCGGTCAAGTCTGGCAAAGGCGTGGAAGAGAAGAAGAGGAAAGCAGGAGAAGCTCTTGCTGAGGCGCAAAAGGAGGCCGAAAGGGCTAGTGGGAAAAAGATGAAGAAGAGCAAGCGATGATAGGCTTGCTTGAAGCAACTCAATTCCGGCTGCAAAACTTCATAGAGGTAGAGGAGATTTGGCATGTCGATACCCTGTAAATGTAATGAACTTTGATGGAGCAGATTAAGAGCGGCAATGTCACAAAAATGATAAAATATGGTTCCAGCCTCGTTCAAGTGATGTCCAGATGTCTTTTCAGGGAGCCTGGCTCGGACCAGCCCCCTCCCGAAGTCAATCGGCTCGTATCTCCCTCGCCACTTCCCCGAGCCCCAGCTACCCGCCCGAGCCCTAGTAGATATACCAATGTAGAATCGTCCTGAATTAGATTACGTGCTGTTTCCACCTATTATATATTATATCCGTTCTTAGATGGTGTTGTTAACAGGCGCGGAGGTCGCGCCTCGAATTCGCGCCTCGAATTCCACCGTAGACCCAAAGTTCGTATTTCTTCCCCCTTTTGCAGCAGATTACCTAGTAACTACCGAAAATGGCTGAATCTCTATCCTACGACGAGTTTCTCGATAAAGTTATCGCCGGCGGCGGTAACGGCGCGGCGGCGGCGGCGGCGGCGGTGGTAGAAGGTGTAGAAGGCGCGCTCTCGGCGGTGGTTATTGAGTCGCAGAAAGAGGTAGAAATAGAGGTAGAAGGTGTAGAAGGCGCGCTCTCGGCGGTAGTTGTTAAGTCGCAGAAGGAGGTAGAAATAGAGGTAGAAGGTATAGAAGGCGCGCTCTCGGCGGTGGTTATTAAGTCGCAGAAGGAGGTAGAAATAGAGGTGGAAGGTGTAGAAGGCGCGCTCTCGGCGGTGGTTATTAAGTCGCAGGAAGAGGTTCAATTTGTCTCGGAGACACGTATTCGAGGCCGCTCGCGCTTACTATCGCTATCGCTACCGCGCGAGCGTGTTAATCTGCTAGAATATCGATTAGTATCGCCGCGACCTTAAAAGCACGAGTTTATAACGATTAAGCGCCCTCGTAGGCTATTGCCTCGCTAGTCGTCGTTTCCTTCGAAGAATACGCTCGTACGCTATATTCAGTCGTTTAGTATAGACACTGGATTCGAGTTTAAAGAGTAGAAACCTAAGAAGAATAAGGATAGTATCAAATACCGCTATCTCTACGTCTACGGCTGCTTTAGTAAGCCTAACAAACGCACCTAGATAACGACTAACAAGGCGAAGAAGAAGACGAAGAAGATTGGCTGTAAATTCTATTTCTACGCTGTTGCTATCGACCCTCGTACGCCGGATAGTGAGTAGTATATTCGCCACTCTTCTAAAGATATACATTGCTAGTATAACTATAGACCTAACGACGTTGTCTTATTAACTAATATGCGTGTCCGTACGAGGTCTCAGCAATTCCTTAAGCAACTAGAGCGATTATAGCAGTTACGAATGCCAACCTCGAAGATTATAGCCTATTTCCGAGGCTAGGGAGTTATTCTAAAGCTATACGACGTCTATAATATTGCTTTCAACCGCAATACTATCGCTCGAAGAGAGTTAAACTAGGCCGAGAGAATGGTTAAGCTACTGGACGAGAATTCAATCTTCTACGAGATAATAACTAATCCTAAGAATAGTACAATTCGGTCAATAGTTGCCCTCTATCTACGGTCGCTCTCTGCCTATAAGGACACGCTATATATTATCTGTTTGGATACGACTTACAGCACCAATTTATATAACCTCGAGTTGCTAGATATTGTCGCCGCTAGACCGATGAATAATACGATTGAACTCGGTGTTAGCCTTGTTAAACCGAAGCCTAACAAGGCGGCCTTTATACAGCTATTATAGTTAATCCGGAATAGCTTCGAGAAGCATAGTTGTCCACTACCTATTATCTTTAGCACTAACCGTAAAGCGGCTCTTATATTAGCGATTAACGAGGTATATCTAGAGTCTAAGAATATCGTCTGCGACTAGCACCTATAATAAGACATATTAACTCGAGTACGCAAAGAACGAGGCGACTTTGTATAGGTGAAGGCTAACGATAGCTCGTAGACTAATAGTCTAAGGACTACTCAGTTTATGAAGCTGTTTACTTATATAGTCTAGAGTCAGTCCGAGGAAGAATTCAACGATAAGGCTTATAAGCTAGATAACGTGTTTCTACAGTTTAAGTCCTATTTGAACAATAACTAGTAGTGTTATAAGGAGAAGATTGTCTACTGCTGGACTAACTAAGTAATGCACTTTGGCTGTAAAACAACGTTACGAGTCGAGGTAACCTACGGTCGGATTAAGGAGTAGTTAAACTATAGCAGTCGGTACGATATCTTCACCCTCTTCGAGTCGCTTCTTAACTAGTAGCACTAAGGCTACGACCGCCGCCGAGCTGTACTCGCTAACAACCTAAAGCGCTGTTCTAAGGCCTTAATCGGTCTATTCTAGTCTTCTATAACTCGAGTTGTTAGCGACTATTGCCTTCTCGAAGTATAGGCTCTACACTCGCGTACTAACTCGCTTTTGAAGGCTACAGTTAATGCTAATAGCAACGAGATTAAGCACTCGGTATACTCGTATTCTTGTCTATAGTGCCGCTACAACGACTACCTATCTAAGACCTATAGCCATCCGTACCTTTACGATATTATAAAGCTTCTAGAGACAGAGGGCAGCCGTGTAGTACTATTGCCTTCTCACTTCTACGCTTACTAGTTTGTCGACTTTAAGAAGGCACGGCTCTTTGACTCGCACCGTATTCGAGAGCTATAGGTAATCTATAGCAACCGCAAACCTCTTACTAGCGGAGCGACGTTGTATACAACAAAACGTATAGCAACGGCTCGAGAATTAGACGACTTGAATGAGATAGCAGTCGCTAAGAAGTAGAAGACAACAATACCAAGAATAGCGGCCTTCGTACTCGAGCCTAGCGTATCGCTTACTTAGTTGCGGACGACTATTGAGCACTGTAAGTGCGTAAAGAGCTAATGCCGTACTCAATAGTGTCCTTGCTAGAAGGCTGATCGACTATGTAGCTCTGCCTACTACCCTTCTAGCTTCGAGTGCTATAATCTACGTTAAGAGCCATCACTTCCGGTTGAACTATAACTACAACCTCCTTCTAAGCTAGACCTTCTACGGCAAGAGCTTAATAACCTTCGAGCGCGTAAAGAACAGCGCACTCAGCAACAGATTGAACATAGCCGACAGCAGGCGGCGTTATTTAAACAGCAGCAACGACAGGCTGCTTAGCAACACCAGCAACAACAACAACAATAGTCACTTACACAGCCAACAGGACGGCCACTTCATCACCAGGTGCTGCAGCAACAGCACCATCAGTTCACTTAGCAGCAGCACTATCAGTTCACTCAGCAGCAGCACCATCAGTTCACTCAGCAGCAGTATCATATGCAGCAACAGGCTAGCCAGCAGGCTAGAGACCAGTATGAGCCAGCATATATAGCCTCGCGTAGTTACAAGGCTGCAGGTCGTAACCCGCTTAGACCTGAGTAGATAGCAACCAACAACACCTTGAATTTTGCTATACCACTGATTTGCTAACAAACTTTGGCTTCATAGCTAGCAGCAGTGGTTGCCCGGTCGGTAGTGGTTGCGGGGATCCGGAAATCGCTTCCCCACGCGATTTTGTTAGGAACAGCGGATTCCATAATCCACTGTATCACTGGGGCTCGGGCGGGTAGCTGGGGCTCGGGGAAGTGGCGAGGTCGTATCTCCGACCAAGGGGACTCGCTTCGGCGTAAAGAAATCTTAGCGGGGCAAGTCATTGCCACAACATTGATGAATATATGGCAACATCTGGGTTATGATAGGGTTAGAGGAGAAGAGCACACATCTGCCGTCGATCAACGAGTAGGAATATGTCCGCACCTTTCGGACGAGCCGTGAGCAGGCATTTGCATTTGCATTCCGCCGGATCACAAAGCGCACATATTACGACCACCTGCAGGCCCAATGGCGTCTTTTGCAGGAGACCATATCTTACATCTCAGAGCACCAGAGCCTTCGCGAGTACATCGAATAAGATGGCCGACCTAAAGCAGATCAAAGCCAATTGCCGAAAGGTACGTAGACACATCAGCTGACTCTGAAGCATTGGAGGAATCTCATCAGTCACTGATGCTGACACTTCTCGACGACTCCAGGTAATTTGTATCGGCCGCAACTACGCCGACCACGTCAAAGAACTCAACAACCAACGCCCCAAACAACCCTTCTTCTTCCTCAAACCCCCCTCCTCAATCCTGCTCCCTCACGAAGGCCCAATCCTACGCCCCGCCGGCGTCAACCTGCACTTCGAAGTCGAGCTCGGCCTGGTCATCGGCAAAACCCTCCGCGACCTCGACGAAAACGACTCAACGCGCTGGCTCGACGCCATAGAAAGCTACCTCCTGGCCATCGACATGACAGCCCGCAACGTGCAGGAAGAAGCCAAAAAACGCGGTCTCCCCTGGTCCATAGCCAAAGGTTTCGACACCTTCCTCCCCCTCGCCGGACCGATTGACAAGAGCAAGATCGCAGATCCTCACGATGTGGAGTTGTGGTTGAGTGTGAATGGGGAGGTGAAGCAGAGGGATAGTACGGAATTGATGCTGTTTAGGATTGGGAGGCAGTTGGCGGATATTTCGAAGGTTATGACGTTGGAGGAGGGCGATGTTGTTTTGACGGGGACGCCGAAGGGGGTGGGGACGGTGGTTACCGGGGATGTTATTGAGGCAGGGTTGAGGATTGGTAGGGAGGAGGTTGAGGAGGCGAGGATAAAGGTCGAGGTTAGGGATCGGGAGGGGCCGTATTTGTTTACGGAGACGTATTAGATAGATAGACTTAGAGATAAGTAAAAGGGCTTGTGTTAGAGGGCATGTGAAAGGCATGTAACCGGCTGAGTGAAGCTAGGGTCTTGGTGCCTTAGGCAGGGCTTTTCGCTTAGCGCTAGCCTAACTTCCTAACCTTCCTCTCCCTCCTTCGTAGACCTTATCGAATACTGTACGCTTTTAACTGTACTATCTACCTGCTTATATAACCCGTATCATAGTCGCTCTGCGCCTTCACGCCAAGCGTGTTCTGATCTCACTTTTCGACAAGACCTACCAGGTGAATCAATACCTGCTACACCTCCACCTGCCTGAGCATTGCCCTGACTCTAGAGCCATTAGTATATTCTTGCGGAAGCAACAGCGACCCTGAGTCTTCAGCAAGACTCTGACCATGAGCATAGAGATGGTAGGTGTATTGAAATGCCCAAGGCATGACTCTGCCGCCTTGTCGCACGCTATGATCTGCTCTCACACATGCTAATTCTCATATCCCCCGCTTTTAGCCATGTTCTTTGGCTCGCAGAAGATTGCTAACTCGGTGCGAACCTGTAGGTGCAAATTATTGACTCATGTGGTCGGTCCCTGCTGGACATTATCAATAACCTCCCCGAGCATGCTCATGCATCTGCTGAAAAAGATACTGGTCGACCGAAACTGAGATCTGGCCGCCGTGGGCCCGTGCTACGAGGCAGAGATCGCCTACAGACACTGTTCAAGACCTTTCCATCTTGACCGAGGAGGTCTTGCACAGCATGCTTCACAGTACGCCAAAGCCCGCAAGCAGTCCGAAGTCTCCTATTTTCGAATCGCCAAACAATCTATCGTTACATTCAGAACCTATCAAAGTCATCCTTGACATGGTCGTTCACGGGCTACCTCCGTCTGGCTGGAACTTCCGCGTCAATGCTGGAGCTTACAGGAGGATATTGTAGAACCTGGCGTCGAACGCCATGGCGCGTTTGAATATATCGGAGATGGGTGTAGACGACCAGCTTCGACGGACCTTTTCGCCAGAATTCAAACGACGCTCGGTGCGGGATTCTGCCTCCAGCGTGCTCGTCGTCGATGACGATCCAGTCAACCTGACTTTACTCGAACGATTCATGAAAAAATCGAAGCGCACTTATTGGAGCAGTCAATGGCCAAGAAGCTTTGCATGCATATAGGAATAACCATTTAGCTAGACAACAGCCCAGCCACTCTACGCCGACTTCATCCACACCACACGTAAACTCACGTATATTTCCTATTTCTGTGATATTTATGGATATCACAATGCCTGTGATGGATGGTTTGGAGGCTGGCCGGCGAATTCGAGCGTACGAGCGAGCGGCAGGACTACAACCTGTTATGATTGTAGCTCTTACAGCGCTCGCTAGCCAGCATGCCAGACAAGAAGCGTACAGCAGCGGCATCGATTTATTCCTGACGAAGCCTGTCCGCTATAAAGACATCGAGAAGATGTTTGAAGATTAGGAAGCAGAGATTGGATGATATGAGGGAATAATGAAGAACGACAGATAATAAATATATGAGCAGCAAAGGACATGAGATGAGTTGAATGAACATGAAGAAACGCATGCAGGATCTTCACTACTAATTGACCTGTTTACAGGCTACTGGGGATATGGATGGTTTCACAGCTTCATCATATCATGCCAGCGTCCTGATGTGGTTAATTGCGCCCCGCTTCCACCAATGATTGGCTAACACTGAAGCGGAAGGAGGAAGTGAATGTGCATTAGGCCACGGCATCGTGCATTTTTAGTGCCCAAGCTTATTTCCCGCACGCAAATCGAGGACCACTCTGCTTCGAGAGGTGCGCTGGCGGCTGCCCTTGCGGAAGCGCAGATGATCATGAAACCCGATTGATTTCTGGCCCCTAGCGGCATGAATTGACACTGTTGCAGCACTAACTACACACAACTTCTGGAAAGGTTTGCCGCACTACTGACAGATAATGGCAGATCGGCCTTCCGACTAATGTAGCAGGTCATGAGTCTGGCATTTATAAGAGATGATAAGGGCTTGGAGTCTTGACTGGAAAGCTTCATCCCTTGCTTCGCCATTCCAATCCCTCTCTAACATCCTCTGAGGTGCCTGTAGAATGAAGGCCGTTTTTGCGTTTGGGCTTGCTGGACTCTCAGCAGCAGTGACTGCTGCACCGTTAGACGATCGTTCAGACTATGCTGTGCATAGCTCTCATTTCGTCCCGGGTGGATGGGAACAATCAGGCAAACCAGACCCTGAGCATACCATCAACCTCCGAATTGGTTTGAAGCAAGGCTCCTTTGCCGATCTGGAGAGACATCTTTACGAAGTCAGCGATCCAAATCATTATCGATATGGTCAGCATTTGTCGGCCGAAGAGATTCGTGCCTTTACGGCTCCATCTGAAGAGGCCTTGAGTGCCGTTGAAGATTGGCTTCAGGTACTATTGCAAGAATCCCGCGAAAAGTGGCATTTCAGCTAACTTTGACCAGAGCCATGGCATCTTCAAGGAGCAGGTAGAATACAGCCCTGCAAAAGACTGGGCCGTGATCGCACTGCCTGTCAAGCAAGTCGAGAAGCTCTTGGATACGGAATATCACCAATATCAAGATGGCAAGGGAGCTCAAGTCGTGCGAACGACTGCATACAGTCTTCCAAGATCCCTCCATGGTCACATCGACACCGTGCAGCCCACAAACTACTGGGGAAAGCCAGAACTTCACTCCTCGGATCTGAAAATTGTCGATCTTTCTGCTACTAACAAAATTGCATCTCTCGCTGTCCAGGCTGCACCGGCAGCTTGCAGCGGAACGTCTGTATCTCTGAACTGTGTGAGGACCGTCTATAATACAACCGATTACATTCCCAAGGTTCCTCAGAAGAACTATGCTGCCTGGACGAATTACCTCGGTGAAGTGGTATGTGTTAGACAAGCGGCTATGGAACTCGTACTGACATTTGTAAACAGCCGTCCGACTCTGATTTTCATCAGTATATTGCTCAGCAACGTCCTGATGCCAATCAAAGCTACGCATTCACCAGAACGGTACAAAATTCTTAGCATATTTTATACAAAGCGTAGACTCGGGCTGATATGCAGATAGATCATTGCCAATGCTTCCAACGACCAGACTAATCCTGGCGTGGAAGCCAACCTTGATTCGCAGGTATGCTCGTCTTCCTCGCTCTTTTCCTTGTCTTCTGACTTTGTATGCAGGCTCTGGGTGGCTTCATTGTTCCCACCAAGCTTACCACCTATTCCACCGGTGGCTCTCCCCCATTCACCCCGGACATCAGCACTCCTACCAACACCAATGAGCCGTATCTGACCTGGCTCGATTACGTCCTAAAGCAATCGAATCTGCCATACGTCATCTCCACATCCTACGGCGACGACGAGCAAACCGTACCGTTGAACTACGCCCAAAGAGTCTGCGCCGAATTCGCCCAGCTCGGAGCCAGAGGCATCACTCTTCTGCTATCCAGCGGCGACAACGGCGTCGGCGCCCCAAACACATGTCTATCCAACGACGGAAAATCCACGCCCAAATTCCTGCCCGCTTTCCCAGCTTCGTGCCCCTACATTACCGCTGTGGGCGGCACCCGAGACTTTTCCCCTGAACAGGTCGCTTTCGACACCAGCAATGGCTATGTTGCGGGCAGTGGCTTCAGCGAATATTTTTCTCGACCGGATTACCAGGCGCCCCAGGTGAAGAAGTATCTCGCGTCGATTGGAGGCTTGAATAAGGGACTTTACAACCCGAATGGGAGGGCTTATCCTGATATTTCGGCGCAGAGTTATAGGTTTCAGGTTGTTTATAAGGGAAGGACGGTTGCTGTTGATGGGACTAGTGTTGCGTCACCTATTAGTGCTGGTGGTAAGTTGCTCTTTGCCAAAATGAGCAGCCTTCGTGGGTGCTAACTAATACGATCCAGTTCTCACACTCGTCAACGATGCTTTGATGGCAGCTGGAAAACCTCCACTCGGATTCCTTAACCCTTTGCTCTACTCTAGCAATGGTGCAGGCTATACCGATGTCACTGTCGGCAATTCTACTGGCTGCAATACGTAAGCGATCTGATTTCTGCTGAAATACGATGTCTGAGGTTGCTAACTCTTTTGCTCAGTGGCGGGTTTCCCTCTGGTGAGGGATGGGATGTTGCAAGTGGATTCGGCACACCAAACTTCAAGGCCATTCGAGCGGCACTTGGAGTATAGAAATGTCTACGCCGAGGATTGTCCTACCTAGTATGTTCAAGAAGGTGTAAGGCATCTATGCATCAAATGGCTGGGCATCGACCATCGCTATTGGCTGGTTAGCCGCCACAGTTGTCAAGTCGAATCCTTCTATGCATTCAGCCGCCCGTGCTGAAGATATCGTTTCTTTTTGCAAGACCAACGATCATCATGTTCCCTAATAAGCTGTCGCTTTGGAACGAAGAGTTCTATGAACGTGCGACCTTATCAGAAGCACTATGCTGAAAGCTTTCCACGATGCGCCACTCCACACATCCGCTGATAAGATCCAAGCAGGGCACTTCGCATCTTTGGAGGCATACAAATTTTCACATGTAGGGCAGGTGTATCACCTTCGACAACCTCTTCGTTGATTCATGTTTCAGGAGACAGACTATCCCACCTACAGTCTGGTGATCAAGGCTATCCCAGAAGCCGATGTCGAGGACTGGGCATGGCAGAAGGGCTACTACTCAACACATCAACCACAGCCAGAGTCAGGCGAACTCGAGGGCGGTATTCGGCTGCTGCTTGCACAATCTAAATCTGGGTTTAGAGAAGCCATTCCTGGTCGACTTTTATCAGCAAGAGTCTTGGAAGCGTTGAACCTCGCGCCTTGCACTTTTTCTTCTTTTCAACAGGCTTCTGGGGTGTTCTCTGCCCACAGTGTGTCTGAGAAAACAAAAGATGCAGTAAATGACGCTTACCGTGAGTTCGCTCCGGGCAATGACAGGCTCACCATGTAGCTGACACTTCACAGGACTGATCTTCCGCACGCCACAGAAATGGGAGTGTTCGACCGGAGGCCTGGCAACCGCACATGACTTCAAAACCGGCATAACCACAGCCCTGAATCTTGGCTACGCCTTCGATCTCGACCAAGTGAAACATGATATTCCATCTCCCAGCCTCAAAGCTTTCGCGAAGCAGCTCGTTGATTGTCAAGCTTACTGGTCACATCCACTCCTGCTACCTTGTCAATTCCTGGTTGCCCATACGCTCCGAACGCGCAGTTACGTGCTCGGAAAAATCAGCCATCAAGTCGTGCTCCTCGAACACAGTGTCGGAGTCACGAAAGCCGGTCGCTCGCAGCGGAATTACCTCGATTTCCCCGACGAAGGCGAACATGCCGATGATCAACGCCTGTTCGTCGGCGAGCACTTACAAAGAGAACATGCGAAGAAACTGATCGTATCGATCAATGATCTTTCCACTTGGATCATTTTCGCCAAACGTTCGCCTCAATGGGATATCGATTGTGCGGAGTTCTTGCTTGGGATTCTGACCAGCAAGAATAAAAAAATCTTGGAAACTCAGGCCTCGTCGCAAAAGGTTTTCACAGAGACGCTGGATTACATCCGGAATTACGCTGAAGCTTGTCTCGAAGTGACGCAGACGTCAGAAGCGAGAATGCAGCTTCAACTCAACATCCTGTACACGACCATCGCACAAGACGACGGGCAGACGAGTGCCCGGATCGCGGCTTCGGCTGGCAAGGACAGTACTTCGATGAAGATTATCGCTCTGATCACAGCTGCTTATCTCCCCGGCACGTTCGTGGCGACGCTGTTCAGTATGAGCATGTTTGTCTGGCAGAATGGTGAAAATTCTGAGGAAAGCAATGTGTCCCCTGACTTTTGGGTTTATTGGGCTGTCACTATCCCTCTTACGATTTTTACGATTGCCGGGTGGGGGGTTTGGTGGAAGTTTGAGGAGCATCGGTTTGATAGAGATGTTCAGCAAGCAGTCAGCGATCGGCCGAAGCCGAGGAAAGGGATAAGGATGTGGTGAAGGATGGAGCATTGCAAGCATGTCGACATCCCGCGCTTGAAACATCGTCCTTTCCGGTCCCGGAGTGCGATTTGACGATTCGTCAGGCCTCTGCGTGCGGCAAAAGTTCTTCACAATGCAATGCATCGACGAGTGAGGTTGGGTCGTGGCCGAGCGGTCTGGCTTTCGGCTGGAAGCTCTCGACCGCCCAGGTCCTTTGAAAGCTATGGATCTATTGGATACAGCATCTGAGATATTCACTACAGCCACTAGTAAGGCTCTTCACCTACCGCGGATCATTCACAATCGTAGGCTTTGAAGTCAATCTCTTCGTTGAATCGGCCTTCTGGACGCATTCAGTGATTAGCGTTGCTCGACAAGGGGATTGCTGTCCACCTAACCCGGGTTCTATCCGTTGCATCAAGGTCGTCCGGTGCCAAGCTTTCATTGGCCATGTTGGGTGGTCCTTCTAAGACGCTACCTACTTCGGCCTCCTAGCTGGAGCATTCGACCTTTTAGCAGGCTCATCGTTGCAGAGATATGGAGATGCCAATGCTGGGCTTCTTGATCAGCGATACGCTCTTCAGTGTGTTCAGAAGAATATTGCTAAATTTGGTGGCAATCCCGATATGGTGACTGTTATTGGAGAGAGCGCTACATATCGAATTCGCTTGATTTTATCAAGCCTGGCCGACCACATTTACTAATTCCGTTTTGGGTCTGATATATGGCAACACCGCTTTCCGGTGATGAGTCCTTTGCTCATAAGCATACGCATAACCGACCAACGTCTCCTCACTCCACCGATCACCCATGAAAGATAAACCAAACGGTACATTCGGCCCTTTTGCCACAAGATTGCCAAAGCCATTCATCGAAACATTCCAGTTGGATGGATAGAATCCCATGGGCACTGTCACGACTGGACTGCCCACAAGAGCCGGAATGCTAGGACTCAGCTGAGTAGGCAACAAGACAGCGGTGGTATTCGTCCTCTTCAATGCGCCAAGAATGCCGCCCTCACCACCATAAAAGATATTACCCATCTGGTATGCAGGCCAAAATCTAGGATCTGTATTGTTCCAGCCCTGGTTCAGCGCCGCATCCCATTCGTTGGTATCTCGCTCAGGCCAATCCTCGATTGGATGCGAATGCGTCCAGCTCCGCTCGCCGGCTAGATCGGTGATGCTGTACGGATTATACGAGAGCTCGGAGAAGTATTGGGCCAGGTTTGAGAGGAAATCGGCATTGAAGACGAGCCTGTTGTTAGTGTCGGTCTGCCAGGCAGCGAAGGCAGTAAAGTTGGCATCGACGATTGTGGCTCCTGCTGCTTCGATCTGCTTGATTGCCTCGTCGAAGGCATCCAGTACAGGCTGATCGGTGTACTGTCGCCATATCTCAAGGACATTTCGAGCCACGCCAATGCGAGCGCCGGCCAGGGAGTTGTAGTCGCAAGCAGAGACATAATCTGGGACACTGTGGAATGGGAAAGCAGACGTGTAGTTGTCGTAGTCATCCGGTCCCGCGATAGCTTGCAAGACCGCCGCAGCATCTTTCACAGACCTTGTCATAGGGCCGACAGTGTCTTGGTGCTCTGAGATTGGGATCACCAGAAAACGACTCGTCAAGCCGACGGTTGGCTTTATACCTACCAAATTATTGACGTCTGAGGGACTCAAGATGCTTCCACTCGTTTCCGTGCCGAGAGACGCTAGCGCGAGACCTATAGAGCTCGACACACCAGAACCACTTGAGCTCCCACTTGGATCTTGCTTAGGATAATAAGCGCCATATGTCTGGCCACCATAAGCAGACCAGCCATTACTGGAGTTCTCGCTGCGACAGTTCGCCCACTGCGAAAGATTCGTCTTTCCCAAGATTACAGCTCCAGCCTTTCGCAGTTTCGCAGCGATAGTCGAATCCCGGGGTACTTTCGCTCCCAACAAGGACCAGGATCCTGCAGTGTTATTCATCTCATCGGCTGTCGCGATATTGTTCTTGATCAAGATCGGAATCCCATGAAGTGGACCAAGGACCGTGCCATTCTTTCTCTGAGCATCTAGCGACGCTGCTATAGCCAAAGCATCCGGATTAAGCTCAGTGACCATATGCAGAGTGTTATTGACCTCTAAAATTCGAGCTTGGTACGCTTTGACCAAATCAACACTAGTAAAAAGTCCTTTCTCCAGTCCAGTTGACAAATCCTCCAGATCCGCATCCAGTAGCGAAGGAAAGGTCGCAAGAGAACTAGATCCAGTATACCATGCTGTCGGTGAAGCTGCTTCTCCCAAAGCCAAAAGGCCCGTAAGAAGGAGGAAGAATGACCGCATCCGCATTTCAATTTGTCCGACGTAGAAAGCGAAGAACGTCGAGACTACTTCTCCAAGACCATCACGTCCGAATCTTGTCTCATAAGCGATCTTGTAGTCGTGGGTAGCCGAGACCGTAGATAAGATGTTCTGGTTTCCTCCTGCCTGATCAAGGACTTTGCTGTCCATCTTATGTGCGTCGTATGTGTATTCGCCATATCATGATCGTCGGAGCTGAATGGCGGAGTATGCGGGTTCAAGACCGGGCACTGCATGGCTTCAGCCTATCGTAGAGGTCGTGTATAGCGATAATCCTTGTTGAGATGTCACGGCAGATAGCATTAAGATCGAGCTTCCGATTTGGGCGTAGCGTAGATTAGTTATATGGGCAGGGATTTCTGCATTAATACGCTTGTTCTCCTTTCACTCGACCTCTCTTCCTGTCTCAATAACATAACACAACACAAAGCATCGCTGTCAACGTCGACGGAATGTGCGTGCAAGACTCTGCTCTGCGGAAACGTAGGATGCCTTGTTCACAACGTGTTCGGGCTTCACGCACTTGGTCTTCGTGAAAGCCTTTTGGTGTTATCGAGATTCCAGCACGATACATTGTCTTGACTACAATAACATCGCGAAATACCATTGCAGCAGTCTTTGACGTGTTTCTCTTTGAAAGCTACTATGGCTCGTTCAAGCGTCTCGCTGAAAACGACGTGGAGGCTTCCTTGATTCCCTTCAACCTGTTGGCTGACCTGGCTGGACAATGCGAGGTGGAATTTCAGTGATGCATCGACAGTCGTGCCGCGTGGTGGGCATGATGGAAGGAGGGATTCAACTTGGAAATGATGCTCGACGTGATTGGAGTGACTCGCCACAACATCTTCATGCACCGCTGATTGCTCCTCCGATCAGATCCAGATTCGCTTACACAAATCAATGGCAATCCGCATCACAGACGAATGGCCTCCTAAAATATGGAAGCAATGCACCATCGCCACAGCAACTACTCCGCGTTCATCATCGCCACTCTCAAGGATTCATTCGTATACCCAAGATTTTCTCTTCCATTCTTATAGCAATGCCTCTCCCGCTGTATCTTGGAGGCATCAAGATGTGCTGCAAGTGGTCAGCCGAACAACGATACAGCGGCTGCGGTCACCGCGCAAGACATTCCTCGATCGAAATCCACTGCGCCCGAGCCGTCAACATGATGTCGTACACCGGACGCTCTCCCTTTTACTGTGGCTTGATGCCACCGACGACACTGATATCAGGACACTGCGAGAGCTGTCGACAGATGATATCCAAGCAAAGGCCAAGACGTTCGAGCTGGTTTTCCATACCACGACCACCATAATAACGATGCTAAATGGAAAAAAAAAGTTCGCTGGACCACAAAACACAATGGGAACGCTTAGGCCTTTATGTAATTCTTTCCCCATTGACCATCCCTCCAATCCTCTCACTCCACAGCCTCTAACCTCTCGCAATCCCCAAAACGAACGTTCTTCTCCCTCTCAATCCCATTCATCACCCCCTCGCATCACAACCAGGACACTTCCCGTCAACACGCTCCACCTGCCGAGGAGCATGACAAGCAGTCGGCTCCTTGGAACCCTGAGCGCGTGCCTGCGCTGCCGCCATACACAGCGTATGCCGGTAGCCTTTCTGCTTATAATGGCCGCAGATGTAGGTGATGTCGGGCAGATAGTGACACATGGCGGACGAAAATTTGATTTTGGTGTCGCGACGCAAATTCTCAAGGAGTAAGTAAGGATGGCTGAATAGCAAACTTTGCTCCATTGTGTGGAAATTGCTTGGGGGTTCTGGTGATGTCTGTGAGTTTCAGTGAATATAGCTTGCTAGCAAGTTATGCCTTTTCTTACATGCCGTGACGGTCTTCTCCTGTGAGTTCAGGAAAACTGATTGCAGGCTCATCTCCATTGAATGGTTTACTTCATTCTTCTTAATGACCATTTCTGTCACCCTAATCCCCATGCTTTTGTTCATGCAATCTAAGTACCTTCTAATCCCAAACACCTCTGCTGAACGCTCAAATCTGATAACGAGGTTAAATCTAGTTGTATGAGATGCTCTACTTGCGCTTGATACGCCTTTGCTGCGTGAAAACAGCGATCGCGAAGCAGACTCCGGCACAGACGATGCTTTGCACTGGTAGTCATCAGTCATTGTTCGGTTGCTGAAGCATGAGACTTACAATTGACTTGATGCAATCCATAGACATAAGCAGGCATAATCAGCTCTCGTATCCTATCACTTGCGTTCTGCACGTAGCTGATATCAGAAAGAGCCTTCCGCATGATCTCCGCTCCATTCTGCACTCCGGACAAAGCGTGAGCAAGACCAGTTCTGAGACTGGTTTGGTAGACAGCGGCTCCTGCACTGGCGCCAGCAATTGCGCCGAGGTTGAAGAAAAGGTACAGGCCAGATGCGGTGAGGGCCATGTCTTCTTCCCGAACTCCTGCCGCAAGACCAACGAAGACTGAGCTTGATACCATGCCTGAAGCCAGTCCGCCTGGGAGTGTAGCCAGTGAGCCAAACACGGAGGTATCTCCATTCCAAGTGAAGTAGCAAAGGCACATGCAGAGCACTGCAAAGAGCGGCGATATGACCGTCATCGGCTTGTAGAGGCCTGTCTTTTTGATGAAGTAGCCCGATATGAGACCTCCGATGGTGTTTCCTGCAAACGCCGGGACAAGATAAGCGCCGGCCTGTGCGGAGTTGGCTTTCTTCGTAGCCTGGAAGTATAGTGGCACCACGCTCATCAATGAGAACTGTAGCAAAACCTGCAAGAAGGCAATGAGGTAATTTGTGATGACGGCATACTCAAGTAGAAGGCGGAGCGGGAAGATGGGCTCTACCACTACATTCGCGGTCACGACGAAGCCGAGGAGCGATACAACACCTGCAATAGCCGTGATGTAGATGGGCTGGGAGCGCCAGGGATACCTCTGACCACCAGTGTCGAGAATGAAGCAGGCACAGAAGATCAGAGTGCATAGGAAAATCGAGCCCAAGAAGTCAATTCTGCTCAACTTCTGCCATTGTGTCAGGCCTGAAGTTGGTCGGCGTGGCAAGTGCAACCTCTTCTGCACAAGTAGCATGGCTGCGATTGTAGGAGGCAATTGGATGATGAAAGCCCATCTCCAGCCAAAAGCGTAGGTCAACGCGCCTCCAATCACGCCACCACAACTGCGACCAGTCGTTTGCAGAATGTTGACGTAGCTTCGCAGGGTCGCGATCTCGTGCAAGGGCACCAAATCGGCGATGATGATCGATACCATCGAAGTCATGCCGGCAGAGCCACAGCCTTGAACTGCTCGCCAAACGATGATTTCCAACAGTGTGCGACCAATTCCGGTTCCTAGCGTGCCCAGGGCGAAGAGAACATATGAAGCCTGGAGACAAGCTTTCCGTCCATAGACATCTGCCAGCTTGCCATACAGCGGTTGAGCGACGCACTGTGCGAGAATGAAAGATGAAAGGATCCAAGATCCATTTTCCAGGTCCCCGAAGGTTGAAGCGACTTGGCCATACGTGGCGAGAACCAAGCTGGCGTCGACGTTGGCGAGGAAGACACCAAGAAGCATACAGGAGATGGTCGCGTAGATTCCCGTCGAAGCACTTTCGGATTTCAATTCGTTCTTCGCGAGCTCGAGGTCTGCATCGTCAGGAGGGAGATCGCCAGCGCCGATTTCTCTCTGCACAAGAAGCAACTTAGCATCACACACTCGCTCAAGTAAGTATCCATCAACTCACGCTAATGGTGCGGTATAGCAATGGCCGTGCATCGGCACCAGGTAAGAGCGGTGCATTCTCATCCATAATGGTCTCAATTTCCTCCTCGTCCAGCGTCCTTATTGAAGATCGACTAGACTCTTCAATCGCTTCAGCCGGCGCCATAATGAAATGAATCGACCGTAAGAGTCAGTAGCAGTGAGGGCAAAGAAAATATGAAGTAGGGTCCAAAGAAAGCTAAGGTAGAATATATCAGCACGGCCGAATCACATTCACGAGGCTCGGCAAGGGTACCACGCTTGCAGCGCCGACTGCGGCGTACACCGCGATCGTGCAGCTTACCGCGAACCATATCGAGAGCTGCGGCATTTTAAGCTGCTGTGCCCACAAGCAATGATCGGGTGTGCAGAGATGACCAGAAAGACATGTCTTGACGAAGAATGGACTTCTGGACAATTGCAAAGACGAGATTATCATTCATCGATACCATGTGAATGTCGTTGCAATTTTGTCGCCGAGATCGTGAGCATGATGGTGCGTCAGCGAAGCTGCATACATGTATCCTTGGGGGCGACAGTCTGACAGGATCGACAAGCTCAAGAGCATATTCTAATGCACGTCACATGGCGCCTCAAGTCCACCAACTCCAGTGGCCTGTGTAGTCGAACGTCTTTTGCTTGCCGTAGTCCGGGGCGCTTACGTCCTCGACGTCGCCAGTCCATGCAGTGACTTCTTGTGGTCCTTCCTCGCCGACAAGATGACCAAGCGGACACGACGAGAAGCCGACCTTGCTTTGCCCATCATAGAAAGCATCGTACCGGGAGCTCAAGGCGTCTTTCAAAGTTTTGACGTGGCCATTCGGGTGCAATGTCTCCCAAGGTCTTCTGCAAGAGTGTGCTTTGCACGACTTCGTCACCATGAGCAGCGAGTCGAGGCGGTCAACGACATGCTTAAAGGGACGACCGGCAAGGCTATAACGCTCTGCAAGTCGGGCGAAGTCCGGGTCTAGGAGGTTCTCGATCTGGTCGGGGTCGCGATTGAGGTCGTAGTATTGCTTATCCCCAGTGCACCAGACAACGTATAGCAGATTGTACCCATCGCCAATCAATCGCAAAGCCTTGTACGTATTGTTTCGAGCGACGATGGGTGGCCCACCGGTGCGAAAAGTAGAATTACCCAGCTTGCCGTATTTCCCCTCTGGAAGGGCTTGACCCCAGAACTCAACATTCACATGTTCTCCAACGTCTGGGTCTCTTAGCTCTTCTTCGGTCAGCGGTATTGGACTGCCGTCTAGGTCACGTGACTCACGTCGATCGCTACCAGCAAGCTTGAGGATAGTCGGTGTGAGATCCGTGTGCGAGGATACGACCCCTGCGACATGACGAATCGGGACTCCTGGTCCACGAATGGCCAGGGGAATATGAATGTCCGTTTCAAAGGGACATTCCTTCCCTGGAGGCAGTCGATGGTGACTGATGTGGTAGCCGTTGTCGGTGGTGTAAATTACATAGGTGTTGTCCAGCAAACCCTTTGCTTCGAGTTTACTGACAATCCCTTCCACCATTTCATCGACAGCCTGCAATGCCCTTATTCTTCCTCGCTGGAATTCGTCGTTATACTCGATCACGGTGTCATTTAATCGCTCAAGCTGCTTTGTCCAACCGACGCCGGAAGCCCGGGAAGGATTGAAGTTGGCAGTACGTGGGATCTTGTAATCCTTGAAAAGGTGTTGATGCCGAGCCGCGGATAATGGAATTGACATTTGCCTTCCTTTTCTCGGGTCGGCGTCGGCGTGCGGTGCGATGGGAGCCACTCCGATGAAGAATGGATTTGCGTGCTGAGATGCCTCTTCTAAAAAGCCATATGCCTTTTCGGCGATCACATCGGGCGAGTATAGACCTTCATAGCTGACGGGAGGCTCGAAGTTCCGGCTCATGTAGGACCCATAGTAGGAGTATGTATATGGATCAAGAAGGAAGTCGGATCCATTGAAGCCGTTGACGGGAGGGTCGTTGTAGTTGTCCACATTGTGTGAGTTGAATAATTTCCCAGTATAATAAGTGTTGTAGCCCAGCTGCTGCAGGAATACTGGAAGCCAATTGTCATTGAGGCCCTCTCGTACGAACTTTGGGTAGCCGCCATATGGGGGGAACAAGTCCGTCACATTGGTCCTGTGTGCAGTCAAGCCTGTCCAGATGTTCACTCGACTGGGGCAGCAAATCGATACCGTGCAGTAATGGTGGTCGAAAAGAGTACCCTGGGAGGCGTTAACAAATCTATCATTCCAAAACTTCTCGTCTCTCGGACCTCCTGAATAATATGTTTATGGAGCAACGGCATGTAGTCCAATGAGTCCATATGCAAGTCCTGATCATCGGTTAAGATAAACACAAAGTTTGGTTGCTTTGCTGCTGCCACGATCCCGGTCCAGGCTGCTAATACTGCCAAAGCGGCCAGTTTTTCCGTCCAACCCATATCGACAATTCCGAATTGCTGGAGGCTTTGCACACCCAGCGTCCCCTTTATTCCAGACTCTTAAGGAGGACCTGATTTCGGAAACGAATAATCTCGTGCTGTTGTTGCGTACGACATCGGCCAGAGATTGCAGGGATCTGGGCACGCAATGCGGTCACTGCCGTTAATGAATTCCCGGTCGTTCAACCTTTGCTCGCCTCCGGTGGCCAGATATGGCAAACGTTTTGCATAGTGTGTAGTTTTAAATCAAGCGGAGAGTGAAAGATTCACCTTAATGAAGTCAAAGTCAAGAGGTGAAATTCGAGCTCGGACCAGTTCTGCCTAAGGCAGCAAATTCTAGGGCCGCCCTGTAAGGCTGTGAGAATAGACATAGTATCAATTTGAAAAGGCAACCTTTCGGTATAACTTCAAAAATTAGAAAACGATGTGATAAATAGCCATAGAAATACAAACCACTGCCCCAACCCCGAAAATTAACAAACATTCTCTCGCAGCTAAGCACCACCTTCATTCGGCCTGTTTGGACGCGGTGGCAAAGGAGGACTCTTCGCCCCAGACGGTCGACCAAAGCCATCCATCATACCACCGACCTTACGCGGCACTCCTCGAGACCACCTTGGTACTCCTCTCCAAGATCCCCCAACAGCAGGACCCTGCACGACCTCCGTTGGCATCTGAGCAACCTCATCAGGAATGCCATTGCGACAGTCCTCGAAAGTCGTGCCAGATCCTTGTAGGTGATCGTTTGACGAACTCGGGCTGTTGGAACTTGCTCCTCCTCCGTTCCTGAGCGAGCCATCTTCACCGACTTTCTTTCGAACACCTCCACCCTGCTGGTAGCTACCAAGTGCGCCGTCGGGACGGTGATGTCCATGGACGGTTCTGAACCCGGGACTGGTTGGTCCCGAGCCTGAACTCATCTTGCCTTGGGACAAGGGTGGACTTGCGAGGCCGTGATCTCCAGAAGGAAAGCTTCCTGGCCAGATTCGCATCGTCTCCTGGGATACACCAGAGGGGCTTCCAAGACCATTTGCGGCAGTGGGAGGATGATTTCCCAATGGGTTTGTTACATGTGGCTCGGAAGTGTCATCATCGACGGCACTGCCTGCTCTGCTCATGGGATTGCGAACTTCCTGTGACGCGCTGGCTGCGATTTGCTTGCCGCTGAGTGCATCTGCGGCCGCCTTCACCGTCGCCATAGTGGTCTCCATGTCATCGCGCTCTTTCTCAAGACGCTCGACCTCCGACTCCAAATGCTTTGAGTTCGCTTTCTCAGCATCAAGAGCTTTGAGCAGATCCATTGCGTCGGTGTGAGTTCTGCTGGCTTTATTTTCCATCGCAAGTAGTCGTTCCTGCAAGCTTGAGATCTGAGTCGTCAACTGCTCGCGCTCTTTCTCCCGTTCCTGTTCATCCGCACTCGACTTCTCTAGCATAGCCTGCTTTTCAGCCTCGAGAGCCACAATAGCGGTCTTCTTTTCTTCCAATGCCGTCCAGCCCTCTTTTGTCCTCAATTGAGCAACCCTTGCCCTTTCATCTTCCAGTCTTTTCCGTAGATCGGCAGCCGAAGCCTGCATGATTTTGTACTGGCCTTTCTCGGCATCAAGTTGTTTCTGTAACTCGTCCCTCTCAAACTTGATAGCTTTGATCTGCTGATCGACAGACTGATAAGTCGTGCCTTGCAATAGACGCTCAGAGACCAGCCCGTCTCGTTCAAGCTTATGTTCTTCTATTTGCTTGTTTGCCGTGTCCAAGCGATCGTTGGTCTCTTCAATATCGCGTTTCAGGCCCTCGATGATATGGTCTCGGTCGAGCAAGTTCGCTTTTGCAGTCTCAAAGTCCCTCTTGGCTTGTTCGTGGTCGTATTTCACTGCAAGAATCAGCCCACGTCATTTCTAACACGAGTTTCAACTGTCGAGTCTTGCCTTTCTCCCGGAATTCCTCAATTGCGCCACCCATATTCTGAGCCAGCACTTGAGCTGACTGGGGACTAGACCCTTGAGCAGCAGCTTGAATCGCTAGACCGTAACGTGGGCTTTGGTGGGTCACGTCTGCACCCTGCTGACAGAGAACTCTAACACAAGTCTCGTTGCCCTTGAGTGCAGCCATTATTAGCGCTGTATCGCCAGCCGTGTTCTTTGCATTGATGTCGGCATTTTCCTTGAGCAATAGCTCCACACATTCAGTCGGCATGCGGGTAGCAGCATTGATCAAAGGCGTTGATTTATCGCTTCCTCCAGTCACATTCACGCGGATGCCTTCGGCTTTCAGGAGCAACTTCAAGATTCCAGGTTCAGCTCGTTGCGTCGCGGCCGTTATGGGGTTGCTAAGCACACCCCCTCCACGATTCGGGTCCGCGCCATGCTTGAGAAGGACCTCAACAACAGCTTCGCGGTCGTGATCACAGGCCGCCTGCAATGCTGTGACGCTGTAGAACTTTAGCTCTTGGTCATCCTCCGCTTCTTTGTTCACTTCTGCGCCATGAGCCAGCAGAAATTCGACAATGTCCGTGTGCCCTTCGCTGGCGGCAAGCTGGAGCGAGTAGCCACGAGGACCATCAATCTTAGCGTTCTTCTCAAGGAGCGCCTTCAGCAGCTCGATGTTACCCATGCTAGCTGCAGCATTCAAGGGATTCCCAAAGTCCGCAGGCGGTCCCACATCGATATGCTCCAGCAAATTCGGCCGATCTGCGTTTGTGTTTGCGCTGGCGCCACATGTCTCCAGCAGCCAAATGGCAGTGGCATTCTTCTTCAAGATGGCAGACTCGTACAGTGAGAAGTCTAGGATGTCCGGATGTATGTTCTGTTGCGTGAAGGCCCAGATCTTTTCGAGAACGTCCATACGCTCTTCCCTGGCCACGCAAGCGAGGTAGAAAGGGACACCCAACCCAATTTCCGCGTGGTCCTGTCGGTCGGTGTCGTTGATGGTGTAGTCCAGCAGTGCGCTCACGGAAGACCAATTTTTCTCCTGCGCTGCGGAAAGTATTGCATCTCCAAGCGTGTTGTTGGTATACACATGCTGGAAGTTTAGTAGAATGCGCAGGCTCTCGAGCCGGCCTCCGTACGAAGCCCTGATCAAGGCTTGATCCAGCAGCTTCACGTTCCGCAGCCACTTTTCTCTTCCAGTCTCAAGAATATCTCGAAACAGACTTGGCTCGGAGATACCTGCAGCCAGGGAGATAGGCGATTCAAACCTGGTGTAGTCGAAGTCGAACCGAACCTTACCATTCATAATCTGCTTCACGGCATCCACAGTTCCAGAAAGGATTGCGGCGTTGATCACCGGACCGTATTTCTCGCTGATAGCGTTAACACAGGCCCCGCGTTCAATGAGCCTACTCATGACGTTGCAATGGCCTCGCAGTGCAGCGAAGTGCAGAGCGGTGCCCACATTGCCGTGACCGGCTTCAATGTTAGCTCGAGCTCTGATTAGAGTCTCAACAACGTCGGCGTGATTGTTGTACGCAGCAACGTGAAGCTAGAGATGTCAGCAAACGCAACGTTATATCGCCAGTATGGGGACCTACTGCAGTCATGCCAGCTTCGTTGATCCATGACAAGGCCGCGTCGCCATTTCTGCTAAGCAGAGTTGAGACGACCTCCTTCGCTCCTATACCAGCCGCAACATGCAATGCAGACATGCCAACGACGTGGAGGTCTCTCAAATCCGAGGTCAAAGCCTTGAAGTCTTTTAGCCATTCGTTCCTGAGATCTGAGTGAAGTCCCCAAAAGTTTGGATCGTCTTCATACAGCTCCTGTGCTGCATCTGGTGGCGCTTCGCTCAGATGTCGGAAAAGATACTTCACGGGATAGAAAGAGGATTCCTCAGAGGGCAGACTCTCAGCCCGAGGGCCGTCTTCCAGATCATCATCTTCGTTGACGACCTCCATGACCTTATTATCCTGAGAAAGCCTGGCGGTGGTAGTCAAAGTCCTTTGTAACGATGCAGATGCTTTTCCCGATCCATTGCTCAAAGCAGGATCGTAAGCTGATTTGATATGTTGGAAACATCTCAAAGCCATTAGACCGTGGAAGCGCTTCTTCAGAGCCGACTCTTCATGACACAGCATTACCAAGTTCTCTTGGAACTGGGCGCTCCCAAAGACGATTCTGTCCTTGTGCTCATTCCAGTCCCCTCGTCGGAGCAACGGAGCGCATCTTGCAATAAGGTCTTCTAAGCGCTCGATATCCTCAATTTGAGTAAGCACCGCCAAGTCGGCCAGCGTCGGCGGTTCATAACAGATTGTTACAGCCTGGAGCAATTCCTCGAGTTCCAGTCTCGCTTCCCCATCTCTTGCAAGGATCTGGACAAAGTTAGCATAGCTAGGAGCACTCGAGTGGAAGGCGGATTGGGTGACTCGGATACGTACAGTATTCCAGGCGTCGTCAACCATCTGATGAATGCTGTAAAGTCCAATCTCTCTCAGTCGTTTCCTGATTGCCAGATCACTGCTATCAGGCGGCATAGCGGCAAGCAGTTTGCAGAGCACGTCAATCCATTTTTCGTCCGCTGAACGACTTTCCAGGGAATTGCGAATATAGTAAGCGAGATCTGGACTGTACTTCTTGGAAGATCTCAATTGCAACACTGCGTCTTTGGCGTACTTTTGTCGAAGAGCCTTAACAAACTACTCTAACACTACTTTCCGCACTATAGAACGCCGTAGCTACGCTATAAAGAAAGAGACTATAATTTAATACGAAATCTATAGGCGAATCGGCTCGAGATCGACGATAGACCTAGCCTAGCGCCGCGGCGCGCTTTACGCTCCCTCTATTAATACCCTTACTTACTAAGGGTAGGAGCGGCAGTTCGGGTTAGTAGGAGCTAGGTACCTAACCCTCCTAACTTCCCTTTTCGCGGTATAAGGACGTAGGAGGTTCCGACTACTCTTACGGTAGCTGCTACGCCTATAACTACGGTTAATATCGAGACGGTTCCCTACTCTACCTCTTAATAGCTACGTTACGGTACTAGAGCCTATAGTATCGAAGGACCGGGAATCTTCGAACGACCCGCCGCCTATAGCCTAGTAGGATTGTACTCTTCCCGAATTAAAGGAAGATAGATACTACCTAGTTTATATAGCATATACGCCATTAGCCTTCTCTATATAGCCGACGGCTACGGCCTCTTCTACGGTTATTGTTACTGTTCCTATTATTAGTACTATTGTTTTAGTAGGAACCTTAGTTTCCTCCGCGGGCACTACGGTTGCCGCGGTTAGTACTAGTTAGTTAGATCCTCGATTCTAGTCGTTGTTAGAGCTAGGTAGCTCGTTTAGCTGTTTCTACCTCGACTATAAATTAAATACGTATTAGGTTAGCCTATTTAAATACGCGGCGACGGTCCAATTCGAGGATAAGCTCCTATCTAAGCTTTAGGCGTATCTCTAAGATCTATATAGAATTAGTCTTAGCCGGAAGGTTATCCTCGAGGGTCTTTAAATAGGCCTCGAATAAACGAGCCGATTAATTAGTCTTCTGTTTAGCTCGAAGATATAGGTCCTAAGCATATTATTGCCTTAGTATAGGGTTTCTAAGGGTGTCTAATATAATAGTTTTATAGGTTTACTACTAAATAGCGGTCTAATTATCGAGGGAATTAAAATAGTTATCCTAGGTGCGCTTTAGGTCTCTATTAATGTACTGTGTAGTATAGACGACTAAGGAATAGTTATCTAGCAGCGCTCTTGGTATATTACGCTAGTTAAGCTCGCAGTTACGAATATAGTCGTTATATTGTTTCCGACTAGAGCTATCGAACACGGTGCAATCCTTAAGTTTAGCATCCTTCTTTTGAATAGTTAGTAAGGAAGGCCCTGCTGTTAGTTTGGTTGTCGGGGCTTCCTAAAGGCGGCGAAGTTCGAGGAGGTCGTCCTTTAGCTATTATTCTTAGCGTAGGGCAGTAAGCCTATTTTAAGTAGCCTCTTAAAGTCTCCCTACTAGTTAATAACTAAAGGCTAGTTAGCTATATCGACGATTAACAATATTGTTAAGAATGTCGTCGATGGGCAATTCTAGGTCGTTACCTAGAATTATAGGTTCTTTAGCAGACTTAGTAGTAGGCTCTTCGGTAGGAGGCACTTTAGTAGGTGCTTTAGTAGGCACTTTAGTAGGCACTGTGCTACTAGCGTTGTTATTGCTAGCGCTACTAGCGGTAGCACGGTTGTTGCTTCGTAATAAGCCGGCTATTATAAGGGGCGATACTAATAATATATTATTAGCCCCTAAGATACGGATATAGCGGAATTAGTAGATATCGGTCTAGTACGATTGACTCGGTATAATAGGCCGTATAGAAGGCCTTGCTTAATGATTAGTACGGTTGTTTAATAGAATAGTACGTATAGGTCCTATTCTTCGGGCGTAATATAGTTAGATTAGTCTTGTTCGTAGCTATATTGCTAAAAGCTTAAAATAAGAACTATCTAGCTACTACCCTTAAAGGGTAGATCGAATACTATATAAGAAGGGTCTGTTAGTAGGTAGATAGGGTAGTAGTAGGTATAGGTAGTATTCGATAAGAAGCTAGAAGGAGAGGGAGGAAGGCAGGCAAGTTAGCCTACTACTAAGCGCTAAGCCCTACCTAAGGCATCGAGACCCTAGCTTCACTCGAGCCCGGTTATATACCAATTACGTATAACCTCTTTAGTCCTAACAAGCTACCTCCTAAAACCGCCTTCTTTCTACTCTTCGGAGGATATAGCCGCTCGTAGTATACAGAACGCGCTTAAAAAGCTAGACGACGTTCCTATAGACTTAAAGTCCTTATATAGTATTAGATTCTTTTAGGAAGACGGCCTTATCTACTACGTCGACCTAGTTTTACTTTACTTTTAGTTATATATTCCTTTTGCCCTTACTTACGAAATCTTTAAGATAGCGTATAACCTAAGGCATTACGCGGGGTTCTAGCGTACGCTCGATCGGGTTAACGCTAGTTTCTACGTTAGAAACTATCGTCGGCATTTAGAACGATATATCGATTAGTGTAATATATATAAGGCGAACTAATCGACTCGGTATAAGCCTTACGGCTAGCTTAACCTAATAGACTCGAAGTATCGACTACCTATAGACGTCTAAACGGTAGATTAGATCGTAGGACTCCTACCTACTAACGAAGGTTTCGATACGCTCCTTATAGTTACCTATAAGAAATCTAAGCGAGTTTTGCTTCTTTTCGGGAAATATTAGTAGACTATAGAAACGTAGGCAGCCTAGTACCTTACGGCTATCTAAGAGCGATCTTAGCGAGTCGCTAAAGTCTTTATCTGCGATCGAGATCCTAAATAGCTATCTAAATTCTTTACTATAATAATAAAGCTACTAGGTATATCAATCCTCGCCTCTATAGCCTACTATCTATAGATAGACGGCTAGTCTAAGCGTATAAATTAGACCGTTAAGATCGCTATACGGTATTTTGTTACGGTAAATCTAGATATATAGTAGATAGACGTCCTTCCCTCCCTTATATCCTATCTCGGGAGTGTTAAGAATACGAGCACTAGCGTCTCGTCCGATAAGATACTTTTCGGGTTTAATTTAAATACCGACGCTTTTATCGGGCTTCGAGAACTATAGCTAAAGGATTACGCAACGCTACGATAGCAATTTCGTAACGTAGCCGAAGAATCGATAGCCTTCGTAGTAGTAGATATAAAATACCGCTACGACGCTAAGCATTAGTATATGTTTTTTACGGATAGATAGATTAGTTAGATAAGACTATCCCTAATATTATAAAAGCCTACGTAGGTCGCGCCGATAGTAAAGCGACTCTAGTCCGACGATACTAAAGAGGAATAGCTACGGCGAGATACGTAGCCTATAAGACGCTAGCTACTAAGAGGAGGTAGAAGGCCGAACTACGCGGAAGATAGCGACCCTAAGTCTATTAAGAGGGTTACCTAACCCGACGCCTAGGAAGTATAGATAGGTTAGTCGGCTACCGATATAGACCCGAACTAGCTAAGTCTACTAGTAAGCAAAAATACTACGTTAGGCAAATCGATTAGCTCTAACGTATATCGCTCCTACGATAACGAGAATTACGACGCCTAGAAACAGACTAAGACCTTAGGTCTACTAACCGTATCTAACGCTAGATCGCGTAAACTAAAGGCTAAGGCGCTTATCCTAATAGTAAGACGCCTTACTAAGGAGGAAATCTAGCGATAGAGAGATACTCCTACCCTACTAAATATATAAGTAGGGGCGCATCGTAGAATCCTATATAACGATACCTTACTATTCTTTTTTACTATACTATATTTCCCTCTAATTACCGCGAATCGGTACCTCGACCTACGGCTATAGGTTTTTCCCCTATTAGAAGAAATCTAAGAAGTTTTCTAGGAAAATTACCTAGACAGATCTTGTACGTATTATAGACCTAGATATCGGGCCTAAGACGCTACTCTATCCTTCTTCCGTACCCTTACTTTCCGACTATTCTAGCGCTTTCTATCT